AGTTTACCACCCATCCCGAATTCCCTCCCTTATGGGTAAAAGCGAACCCTCATCCACTGATTTACGATTGCTTCTTTGCACTTTCAAGCGTTAAATGTCTAGCCTTGTTGTCTTAGCACCCTATGACGGGTTTAAATTACCCGTCATAGGGTGCTAAGACAACAAGGCTAGCGGTGGGTGGCTAAAGAGCAACAAGAAGCGCTATGATTTCAGCGGTAGCTTCTATTATGAAGCAAGCAAAAACACAATGGAGAGTGAGCTCTAGACAACGCTCAATAACCCTGAAATTAGGAAGTTTACCGTTTAAGAGAAGTTTCACTAGCGAACCAACCAAAGAGCCGGTATATTGTGTTTCAACTGGAGGAGTGGATAGAGGAGCGTGCCCCTCCCTTAAGATTACAATTAGCACCGTTGATACTTGTGTTGAACTGTCTGGGACCGACGTGTTGAGTTAGAACGGTCCACTGCGAAGAAATTCTAGCTACAAACTGCGTATCGGCATAAATTTGAATATCAGCATAGCAAGGTCTCTAAAGATTTGATTACGCATCAAGAAGTCCTGTTCGTGTGTGATTTGGTTCCAAGTGTGTTTATGTTCGACTGTGCTGCTGTAATTGTTGATGGAGAGCATGGTGATTTGAGAATGAGCCTTTGCACTGTTCAACTGAATATCAAAAATTAAGGAATTTCCTCCCTCGCACTTTATTACATGACGAAAAAGAGCCGTGTGATTGGAGAGTGGACTGCGGTGGCTTCAAAATGTTTAGAAGTAAAAAACGCATCAACTTGACTCATTAGAAATCGAGTACAATGAAAGGCAGTATGGCAATAGAGAAATCAGAGGTGAAGGCGCTTCCTAGTTAATTTCCTTCTACACTACGTGATCACCCTCACGTCTGCGTTTCAATCTCACGTACAGTTTTCCCCACTCTCTCGCTTCTGCTCTCTATCTCTGCTCCAACATATCTATTACACACAGTACACTATGATCGACATAAAGCCTCACACAAAGTCACCAATCTCATTTATCAACCGGCCGCTATGGTTACTAGTGGAAATCTTTTGCTTTGTCTTTCTCTTTGGATGTACAACGAGTCACATTCAAGATTTTCATACACATCTTGCACCACTTTTACTTTCTGGTAGTATAATTATGGCCCGAGACGCTACACAGCTGTAAAAGCAGTGATAAACCTTTCAGAAAATTACGCTGACCTACAAATGCATAGAGAGCGCTGAACTCGTAGCTTATACAGTTACAATTTCACAACGGAAAACAGATTTCAAAAAGCTGTAGCTCAGTCTCTCATCTCTTAATGATAATCGCTTCACTTTTGAAGATAAAAAGTATCGCAGCTACTTTACTTCATGGTTTAGCGAAGTAGTTTGAGCATTCATTGCTCCTAAAATTGTATGGGAAAGACTATGGGCTCTATTCGGCTTTTTTTCTTCTGCTTTTTTCCAAACTTCTGAACAGATACTGGTAAAGATTTCCCGGGTCAGCTTTCGCTTTTTAGAGACGAGGTTTTTAGAGCCAAGCTTATGTGATACTTGTGTTCACGGGGTCAGACTACCTCAGAGGGCAAACATCTAATCAGATCTAACCTGATCTATTTAGCCAGGTTTTGAGGGCGGTATAGGGTGAATAAGTGACATCACCAGCACTTTTTCAAAATATCCGTCGTCCAGTGTAATGAAGCGTTAAAGTCTTCGTTCAAGGGTGCTGTATGGTGTAGAAACAGACACGATGTCGAAGGCCGATCAACTCGTCATTGAACGGCGCTTACGACCGATTTACGGTATGACTTCAGTCAATTACTATTAGTTTTTCGGAATGATCCTCTTATTTAGATGCCATTGACGCTGGTAATCCCAAAAAAGCCCGTCAAGAAGCTGACAAGGTCTTGAAAAAGCATCCTGTACAATTTGTGCAAAGGTGAGAATGAATTTGATGGGAACGGAATGCATTCGACTGATGGCGCACAGTTCAGACTCTGTCGTCTTGAACAAAACCTCCCTACGCTCCTGTTCATCGAACACTAGCTATCAGCGGCAATTAAATCAACATATGCTGGCGGACAAGTCCTGTTACAAAGACTACTGGTATCACCTTGGCTCCCGTAGATCATCGCGGTTCTCCTCGTGTCGGCGGCCAGTAAGAGCGCGTTCAGACTTCGCGATCGCGCGATCGGATCGCGCGATCCGATCGCGCTACTGAGGGTGAAATTACTGCGGGAGGGGGGTATGTGCGTATATGTTATTGATCCTGCGTCTCTCGTCTTCTCTCTCTTTCTTGTTCTTTCTTCCTTTGTGTACATAACGCCCTCCTAATTTTGAAGAACGTTTAAATATCTTTGAGTTATTTATTATTTCCTATGTAAAATAGTACTAAATATACAATATGCTAATTACCAGTCGGATCGCCCGGCTGACGCCGAGCTCTCCTCCTTCCTGTTTACGTCGGCTTCGGCCGACTGGCGCCTGGCTTCGCCAGGCTCCTCATACGGGATGGAATTAGGACTAATTGTCTGAGCTGCTCATATTGCGCGCGTAGTGGTCGAATCATAATAAACGAGTAACCTAGCGAAATCTGCACCTCTCAGAGTTGCGGAAGTCGTGCTGGTTTGCCGGCATCAAAGCTCACATTTCTAGTCATAGATTCAGAAATAGAGACTATCAATAATATTGTTCGACAGTACTGACGCAATTCCCTTTTTATTACATGGCATCATAACACAACTGTGGGCGAGTTAACTTGTCATTAACTGGCATCTAACGCTGCTCAAGGTTTGCTGAATGGCTTCGCAGATTGAAAAATATTTAGGCAGCGTTCATTGAATATCTTACAAACTACTTCGTTATTCGTTCTCATCAGTGATTTGATGTTGAGAAGCAAAAAAAATATTTAAGTACTCAATGAACGCATAAAGTGTGTTCCAATATTGGTTTTTTCTCGCTTTCCCAAACTTCCTAGTTTCAGGGCGAAGTATAATACCCCCCCCCCCGCACGAAGCAAGTCAGCTGCCACGCCAGCAGCTCGTGCAATGGCTCGGAGTGTACCGAATGGTTGTCTTATATAGCGGAGGCCGATATCACGATCAAAACATTGGATTGATACTTCCGCATGATTTGCCTGTTTGCCTAGCGGTCGTTTTCGCCTCCAGCGAACTCGAACCGGTGAAGCATTTTGCGGACGCGACCAGCATACATACGCTATAGACATACAACGACACATCAAAGTTACTGCTTTATAGAACAGAAGATTATACTGAATTTTGTGCTTGAGTACGTTAAGGCGGAAGTGTTGAACTATGTTCCAAGTAAAACCAGCAGCTTTTAACAGCGGGTGATGTTTGTTTTCTCTCCCTCCCCGATTTTCTCCAGTCCCCAGATATTTACTTTACCTATTTTGTCCAATTGTGTGTTTGCTTTGTTTGTTCTGCCATCCTCCAGGTCTATACACAACCTTTCCTTTCGACGGTTTCTGCAAACGTCAGTATTGCGAATATGAACACGGAATAAAAGACATCAAAAAAGGTCGAACTTACTTTTATATCGTTTTTGGAACTGGGATACAGTATTGGAGGCAGGATACAGCATAGTGATGTGAGAAATGGTGATATTCGTGACGACCTTTCCAGAATTGTGTTGTTGTTTGTTGTTTGTTTGAAGTTGAGTTTGAACATGAACGAAACATGCCCCCTCCGCAGTATTTCACCTCAGTAGCGGCGATCGCATTCGCGGATGCGTCACGGCGATCCAGGGATCGCGATCGCGCAATGCGAAAGTCTAGAGCGCGCTCTAAACGTCCTCATTCTTCTCTGTAACGTGCTAGACCCAGTGGGGTTCTTCTGCTCGAGGGACACGATGAACTTCATACCATTCGTTCAGAGCTTTCACAAAGAAGTCTGACCATCGCGTAAGGCGGTCGTCCAGGTGTTCGGCTTGGATTACGTGGATCGCGGCAGTCAGCGAACTAGTTATAAGATATTAGCTTTCATGATGTGGAGTTCGACTAATGCCGGGTTGATAACGGGATTGGTCTAGTTTTTTTTTTGAGGCGAAACGCATCAGTGAATCCTTTTTCTGAGATCCCGGGCGCTGGAGTTCTGTTAAGTATTATTTGAAGGCCACCCAAACTCCTGGGAATCTGTCGATACTGATCAATCTTTTTGAGCACACTGATGTGCAGTCCGCTACCATATGAGTCGTGATGCGATGGGTCGTTGGTCCTGGGCGAGTAAGGAATTTCATTAGCGCGGACCCGAGGCGTAAGTAAATAGTGACCCTTTGTTGCAGTCCTTAATATGCTCAATTAGGGCAGAAATGCTAGCTTCGTGACCAAAGTTCGGTGGTCTTGAGAGATAGCGTGCACATTATAGCTTATTGCAGTGCAACAAGGTTTTTGCTTCACCGGATAATCTTCCAAGATATAGGAATTTACAGGTGCTCAAAGCGCTGGCACTCATCCGATCAGACAAGCTTGCCGACGGTTTTGAAATCATCAACAATTTAGACGTTCCCGGAGCACATTTTGATGACAGCACGTTGCAGGCTTTTGTTCACTGTTTCAAGGTATTGTTAGTGATGATTTTTCGCATATCCCATTTTCTCTTTTCCGCTCTCGACATAGTGCTCTCGCTCATAATGTCGTTGGCACCTGCAATTGAACATGGAGTTTCGATTAATATTTCAACGTGGGACGAACATGGCTTGACTCGTGGGCTTGTGGCTCAGCGTAGATAAGATATAGGAATTTACACATTTACGGCCACCAAATTACCGCCTGATGTAAGGGGGGGGGGGTCGGAGCAAAGGTCCCTCATTCGCCGGACCAAAACAATGGATCGTCTTCTCGTAAACTTCTTCAGGAATCGCTCTGCAAACTATAATGATCTTTTATTTTCGTTTAGGAAGCGGGTTGTCCTGACAGAATAACAACTCTCTACGAGCGTGCTGTTGCGGTTTCTCCTAGTGAACAGAATCTTACACATCTTTTCATGGCTCACGTAAGAAATAGGTCAGCGGGTCCTTTATCAATAAATATGATTTTATATAAACAATTGTTCCAGGTCGTATAAAAATCAGCAATTGATCGCAATGCGTTTATTCAAGGAGTTCAACAATACTCCATATTTCTTTTGGGGTGTAATGAGTATAGTTATGCAGGTGCACCAATGGATTCTATCGAAATCTCTTTACTTTGTTATTTTGATGGTCATTTGCATGTTTTCGATACTGTTCAGGCTCGTGAAAGTCCAGAGATGGGCGCAAAAATGTTCTACCCTCTCGCGGCAAGAATGGTCGAAAGTCATATATCAAAACACGGATACAAAGCAGGAGCAGGTATGAAGCATTTGTTTTCCCTGTCCCCCTTCCTACTGTAGCTGGTAAAACTTTACCCCAGCTTGCCCTGCCCTCCCCGACTATGATATCTTGAAATAATCTTTTTTCGAGCGAATGTTTGAGATTCAAAGGTAGTGGGTAATAAATTCGCTGCAGCGTTAGTGGAGAAACTCTCACGACCTGTACACTTTCGGAATCGGGTAGCGGACGCATGAAACGTAGAAGCTTTTAACTTCAATTTGGTCCCCAATCTCAGGCTTTTCGTTGTTTCAGGCATTCTGTATTTTGCTAAATTCTTACTTTTCAGAGGTAGAACTGCATGCAATGGTTTACGAAGGCATGGGAAAGTTCTTAGAGGCGGAAAAGTTATTAGGCACCGAAGAATCTCGGGCTCTTCTTTCTACACCTCCAACATT